TACATACATACGTACAAAACAACACACACACACACACACACATATATATATATATAAATACACTTACACACACACACACACATATATATATATATATCACTCGTACAACGCTCACATGTTCAGTAGCAATTCGGAATCACTATCAGAACGATAAAATTATAGAATCACAAAAGAAGATACTCGTATTTAGTATTCTAAGATCCAACTTTAAGCATCTATGAATCGCGATATGATGATTGGTAATCACAATTTGTACGAAAATTCACGTTGAGCAATTGTAGGTACTCTTACATTCGTACGCATGTTTTCCGAAAGCAACTTTTAGGCTGACATATCATATGTTGCGAAGGTGCATAATCCCTCACCGCCTTTTGGTATTGATGGCCAGATCGACCGTTACGTACGTACAAGTTATCAACTATTGTGATAAGCATAGAGAAACAGGCCAAACATGCAGCGCCATATTTACTATAGCACACTTGCGTCATCCGTACTTGTTCCTATTCAAAAGAGGCGATTCTTAAACACAGTAATTTGAAATAACATCAACCCATCAAAATAAAATGTGCTAACGTGATCAATGAGAGAGCTAGTACGAACATGCTATGATATATATTCCCAAATAGTGCGACACCGCGCTCATGTCACCGTCTAATAAAGAACGCCAGTGTACTACATACCTTTTGTGTGTTGTCCTGCCAGAGATCCACAGATCTTTGGTCTGCATTTTCGCTCAATCTTCGCACACGTGTGAACGTCTTGGGGAGTATGTGCATATTTATACATAGACATGGTAAAGTGCAGTATTCTGACCGACGTAAGCTCGTAAATATATAGAACGAGATGATTACTGTGACTCTGTGATTCCACAGGCTATGATACACTGAAGCTATTGATGTAAATTGATAGTACTGTAAATCTGTAGTTTGAGTAGAAAGGCACGCCACCAAACTCTCGAATCCCATTGGACACGCAACTTCGTTGTAAAAATAAATTATTCTTTATTTTTTTGGACTTCTTTTTTTTTCTCCAAACAAAGTTGATTTTGGTTTTATTGTAAAAAAACAACATAAAAAACAACATATTTTATCAGTGCGATCTCATTTTCCTAATATTACAAACATGTGTGTTCGTTTTTCACAGCAGATATCACTCAAACATATACCACACCGTTTTAGCAAGGGCTTACTATACCTTTATTGTGTGGCAAATGCATTATGAATGAACCCAATCAACCTGAGGAATATGATCCCAAAGAAATTTTCAACGGAGAACCCCCGGTAGATACACAGAATGGCCCAATAGATGATACGTTCGGTGCGTCAATACCAGCCATTTCCACGCAGCCGGGGCAGTATATGCAGTACTGTCTGGATTGCGGCCAGGCGGTGCCGTGTATCTTTGGGTGGGTTATATTCTCATACGTATTTATCGCATATATCTACGCGTTGGAAACGAACTTAACTGAGGACGATCCGCTTGGACAGAGAGTAAGTATAGTTGGGCGAGGTACAAGTGTAAAATTGTTCAATTAGATTTTTACAGCATTTCAGGGTTCCCGTATTACGAAAGTTTGTATACTTGCAAATTTCTTTTTATACATCTCCGGCACTCACATATAATTTAACAATCACACTGATATCAGCACAGACGCATACCCTGTCATATGTATACACACAGAATACAGTATATATCTTGTGTATATTTGTATTTGTATACATACACACACATACTTGCACACCAGTACAACACATACACATGTGTATTTCTATTTGTACACACATACAGACACACACGCATATATATATATATATATATATATATATATACTACACACACACACACACACACACACACACACACACACACAC